TTGTGACACTAACAGTGATTGTTCCGTCGTCGAAAATGCTGGACGACGTGTGAACAGCATACACAGAAGATGAGTCTCTTCTGCGATTGATGGATTTCGTATCCAATCCATGCAGTCAAGCTTTAAAAAGCTTGTCGTCTCAATACCGCTCCTCCACCGAACGGTATTCTGTTTGTGATGGAGTGCTGTACTATACAGCAGTCAGCGGTGACGCACCTCGCGTCTTCGTTATCGCTCATAATGATTTGCGACTGCGCATCATGTATGAGTGTCACGATGCCCCAACAAATGGGCATCGCGGTAGAGAAGAGACTTACCTCATGATGCGTGACTTCTACAGGCTTCGCCAGTATGAGTTTGTGCGCAGATTCATTCGCACTCGCGAAGTTTGTCAACGAATGAAGCCTAGTACTTCATCCCGTGCGCCCTTGTAGCCTCTACCGATTCCGGTAGACTGTTGGCAGTCCGTATCGATAGAATGCGTCTCCGGGTTTCCCAAAGACGCTCACAAGAATGCGTCTTCGGGTTTCCCAAAGACGCTCACAAGAATTCTAGTATTCTTGTGTTTGTTGATCGGTTCAGCAACATGGTACATCTTGGTGCTGTACCGGAGTCAATCACAGCCCAGGCTGTGCTCGTGTCTTCATCGATGCTATCTTCCGACTTCACGGGTTATTCCGTGAACAGGTATGTGATAGAGACCCCCGCTTCACAGCGGAGTGCTGGCATTCCGTGTTCCGTTCACGTGGAACACGGTTGAAGATGTCGACTTCTGACCATCCGGAAACAGATGGTCAGACCGAACGCGTCGACCACGTCCTCGAAGAGATGCGGCAATGGTACATCCACTAGTTTACGAGTTGGAGTGAGTTCTTGACGATGGCGGAATTTGCCATCAACAACTCGATGCATGCGCCGACACCGCATACACCGTTCTTCTTGAATGGCCTACGCCATCCACGTTTGCCCGCCCTCTTAGAGTGTGACTCTAGTTAAGGGGGGTGGACTCGCTCGAACCAAATCCGATCTGGGTCTTGCTCATCACTCGTCGACAATGGTGTCGACATGACGGATGCCGATGTCGATGCGATCGACATCGATGATGATGATGATGGCGACGATGCTGGTATATTCAGCATCGCCAATGATGGCCACAGTGAGGACGATGATGCCCTCACTGGTGAAGACAACGTTCTTTCAGCAGTGCACACGAAGCGCACTGCTGTTAACAAGGATGAATCAGCAGAGGGATTTGTGCTGACTCGCGAAGGTGTTGTCCGCTTCGTTAAAGACTCTGTTGCAGATGCACTAGACAGACAGAAACTAAACGCATACAAACAAGGAAGAGCAAATGTTCTTTCATTTGATGAAAGAGATCTAGTTTTACTGTCTACAGTAAATCTACCGAAACACGCAGTGACAAACGTGGGCAGCGGTAAATTACTGCCCAAGTACATCGGTCCATTTCGTGTGTTGCGCTAAATGGGCAACGCATACACGATTGAACTTCCCCGTAAGAGGCGTACGCATCCTACGTTTTACGTTGGTCGTATCGGCCCGTACTATCAGTACGATCCCGTTTCGAGATGCGAAGAACACCTCCGCGGTCGAAAGCCGAGACCACCTACGAGTGGTCCCGATTCAACGAGCTAGTCTGGTCGACTAGCGAAGTGACCTGCCCACGCAGGTGAGCGATGTATCGACGAGCTGCAGCCATCTAGTCACGAAGAGAACGAGTCGAACGTTCGTTCTCAAGTTGTGCGAGCGCAGACGCGGCACGATCTTCCGAACGATCGTGCGCTAAGAAATTGTAATCATCCTTCACAAGATCATGGAGCTCATAACGCCGAGTCCGTTCATGAGCTAGGTACTCTTGCAACTGTTCCGTTACACAATTCAGCTCTTGAACATCAAGCTTATCCGACCCTCGATCCGGACCAGGTTTTCCCGCCGCCACCACATCTTTTGGTGGACTCAAGCGGTGGCCAACGCTTCCTAGTGGAGCGTATTTTGAACAACCGCAATGTGAATGGATTCCGGACGAGTACCTCGTCCGCTGGCGTGTCTATCCACCGGCGTGGGACAGCTGAGAGCCTTGTGCCCAGCTGATTGTTGATGTCCTTGGTCTTGTCGAGCAGTATGACGAGACTTACCCGCTGCGTTTGAAGAAGGGCCGTCGGAAATGACCCCCCCCCGAATGCGCGTACAGGGATTACAAGGTGTCAATCACTTCGGCCATCTCAGAAGAGATGCGCGCCCTCCAGTTGGGATCATTAGAGAGGTAAGACTCCCTAGAGGCACGGTTCGAGTTGTCCAGGCAACCTGGACAAGAATCATCCCACGAGAGACCGGGTAATCCTGCCTCTCTTGACAGTCGGTGCAACTTGTATCGTACACCGACTGAGTTGCGCTTCTCAAACCCGATGCAAGCTTTATCAGGTTTGCCGATCCAGGCCTCACGGCAAATGCACTCGATGGTATGGATGAGGACATTCCATCCTTGCACCAAGGTATTCCCGTCTCGAACCCGGTTGCCATTGTACCACCGATGTTTGAAGAATGCATCGGTGAAGAATTCTTCCTCAGCACGGATAGTTTCGTTGCTGGAATCAGGTGAGCAAATCTCTTACAATCGAACAACGGGATCGATCTCGATCGGTAGTAATGCCGGCCAACCGGTACAACTCCTTGGATGACGGCATCCAAGGAGACTCCACCTGAGGAGCCCGGCGCAGGACATTGCGGTCCCTGGCCTCTTGTGTGTTGTCAGCATGAGCACGGACACCAGTGACACCTCGATCCCTCGAGCAGATTCGTTCGTGGTGATGTATAGGTGCATCATCACCCCTCCCCCCCCCCGCGTCCTAACATTAGATGGACTCGCGTGAGGCGAGGATTCGTCGGAATAATCGCTCGATCCGAAGATCTCGAGCATGATGCCGCCACGTTGACCAGAACCAGTCAACATGGCTCTTGCAGAGTCCGCTCTGGGTGATCCGAAGGTGTGATGTGTCGCCTTCGAGTTGGATACATCATCCGACTCGCCAGAATAGATGAGCTCTATCTCAGACTCGTCTTAATTACGACCTGAGGTACCCGCTGCAGACGCAGCGGGTGTACCGGTCGCACGTGGTCACTCACCACGTGGACTCTCACAGCAGCAGGCGACGAATCACCTGCTGCTGAGGTGTGAGAAGTACTCTCTCCGGCTATACGCACGCGTGCAGCCGCCTTTCTTTCTACAACAGTAGCAACTCGCTTGGGTTTTGAAACCATGCGTTGAATTGGCAAATAAATGGAATTTGACCAACTAGTACTCCCTTTCCCAGAGTGATCCCACGGTCGTTTTATTCAATCTACGGGTGGTTGATGGTGAAGAAGGGGGGGGCGTGATGTAGTGGGGTAGCCCGTTAAATGAAATTGACACCGAACGGTGTCAATAGGACTATTGTCTCGCATGACAATATCCTACCAATCTTTTCCGAGATGATAATTATTGAAAGGATATTATCCCATTTTAGGATAATATTCATGCGCTGCTCAAAGATTGGTTGATAAAGACATACCATCCATAGATTACCACCAATAGCTGCTAGACGCGCGCAATGAGTGGTGATCAGGTTGTCGTCATACGACGACGTAGTTTAATATTGTGAGATAAAGACTGAAGTTACATTGATAGCTTAACTGTGTTTAATACAGTTCTCTTTTTACCCTTTACTCAACCTAGATGTTGAGTTAATTAGCTTCCTATGCACGTACTAGTGTACGTGAAGTTTCGTGGCACCCCAAACTAAGGATGCCCCGTTGCATTAACCGTTTCCATGGCATTATTATGCTTAGTCACGACGGCGGCACTATTTTTTTCAGCTGTCAATCCCCGAACCCGTGTCCCCAACGTCGAGTACATAAATGTCGCGCCCTACGTTCCTTGAAGCCTGGACTCGCACATCATGGGCACAATTGTATTTATGTGCATGAGCCCCGCATACCGAATTTTACGTTTCATAGAAGCTGTAAGACGTTCCAGCACATCTCTTTCTTTATGTAGGTCCGCATCAGCGAGAGCTTGAGCGACTGTCATAGCCAGGCAATCACCCCTAGCAAGGCGACGAACTCTTTCGACCCCAATAGCCGTTCGATGTTTCGCATATCTGATGGAATTGCCATATTGATTTGTTTATCGACAACGCATGCTTGCTATCGTCCCTTAGAAGACGAAGTAATTTGTCACACGGGGCTCGTTCGCGGATCTTTGGAGTCAAAACATTTGAAGCCGACTGCATTAGTGCTTGCCCCCTGGCAAGAGCCTGTTTCTTTCTGGTCACCTCTGCCGGCGTCAAGCGAACCAATTTCTTGACCTGACTTGAAGTTGCAAAATGTGGCGTGTCAAGATCTTGAGAAGGTGTGTTTGGCTGAATATATAACGGGGCACACTGAAGCTTGTACTGATGATAGCACAAGCTTATTATTCTGACGACAGAATAAGGCGGTGCCTCGTAACTTCACGTACATTGGTACGTGCAGAGGAAGACGGTAAGGGGAAGCGAGTACTTGGTTAAAGTAAAAAGTAGAACTGTATTTATAATAGTTAATGTCTGCAATGAATCACTATTTATCTTCATCTAACTATGTCTAAATACAAATGTGTATGTCAACTATCTGCTCACCACTCATTGCGTGCGTCTGTCGTGGCGCGTCTTCGTTGGTTGATATAATGGCATATATCAACCAATTAGGAACTACTCGTAAGTGCTGCAGAATATTTGTCCTAAAGACAATTTTCTGAGAATATAACTCTTATAGCTATATTCTATTAACAATTTCTTATAAACTGTTATGTAACGATTCACCCCGATACATCACCCCCCCCTTAACCATCAGTCACTTTAGTGACTGATTGACTAAATGGATACTCGTCCCAAAGCATTTGGGACAGGGTTTGCGCTTGTTGGTCCGAGTCCACAGTCCATCAGTTTCATCGCATGGTTAACAAGCCCATGCGATGCGCGAGCAAGGCCGCTGAGAGCGCGTCCGCACGTCTCTGTGCGGACGCCGAAGCAGGAACCGCTGCAACCGATGTCTCATCGGTTGCTGAAGCGACCCAGCCTGTGTCACTTGGTGATGCAGGCGCTGGTCATGAAGATACTCACGTCTTCACAGAGTACGAGCTCGGTGTCTCGTACTCTCCTGATACGGAAGACGGATCCGTATCGACGGCGATTGAATCCAAGCCGCCTGCCAAGCGTGGCATGAACGATGCTTTGCGTCGCAGCATCTTTGGTTCATCTGATGAGTCAGATGAACCATCGCCGAAGCGTAGGCGCTCGAGGTCGCGAGACTCGGGCGCTAATAGTGGTGTCGGTTCTCCTATGGACACCACTACACAGCGAGGTGCCAGTACTTCTGTCGGCACGTCGCAGGAAGAGCGGGACCGCAATGTCTTGCGTCTCGCTCCTGAGAAGAAGGCATGGATGCCTCCCAAATCAGTCATGGATCACTTGTCGGCGACGACGAGTGATCGTTATCGAACACGGTTGTTCGATTCGTCAAGGATCCATCACCTTGACCCCAGTGCGAAAAACTATCGCGCTGAACATGAATTCTTCATCGATGCTTTCTTAAAACATCGATGGTACAGTGGGAATCACAAGCGTGATGGTCCCTCACTGCTTCAGGCATGGAACGCCTACATCCATAACCTTGAGGATGTAGGTCGTGACGCTTGGAACGACAAGCTTATCAAAGCTCGTGATAAGTTTGAAAAGCGAACCCCGACAGGTGCACGCTACAAGCTGCATCGTCTGTCAAGGGAGAAAGGGTTACCCTGCCTCTCTTGGGGAGACTCGTGCCATGTTGTGTGAACAACTCTGCACGAGCACCTAAGGAGGCTTACCTCCCTAATAGCCCGTGGTGGCGCGTACGTATCTCTATTGAGATGTACGAAGGGATTGACAACTTGAAATTCCTTTACGATCGTGCCGGGAAGACTTTCTCCGGCGGTCCTTCTGCGGCACAGGATGTGCCACGTCGTACTGCTCAACCAGACCCAGTACGTCGATCAACAGTTGGGAGCGGGGCTCCCAAGAATCCCAGGACGGGGATAGCCGCGCCACCGGACGAGATAACTCGTCCGACGTCCGTTCACGTCGCGGTGGTTCAACAGCTGCTCTACTAGATAGCGCTGGCCACCGCGAGAGTCCTCTAATGGAGGTGGAGGAGGAGGAAAGACGCTCTCCACACGATCATGTGGATCGGTGTGTTCCCGAGAGCTTCTTTGATCGCGTAACGCAAGGGTTACGCGACGATCTCGAGCATGAGCGGAATAGGCGTCTCCAGATGGTGGACACTGCCTCGAAGCATCGAGCTGAGTTTGCCTTTGCTCAGCTTGAGAACGAGAGATCTCTGACATCTCTTCGTGACGAGCTAAGGGTAGCTCGTGGGATTGTTGATCGGTCTCGGGCTGAGATAACTGCTCTTCAGACCCTTGTTGATGCCCATCATCGGGAGCACAAGGCTCTCTGCGAGATGCTTGAGCGCAAGGGCGTTCTTCATCGGAAGAAGCAGCGTACTGATGGTACGGCTTAAGCCGACCAACGTAAAACGTGGGATGCGTTCGCATCTTACGTGGTAACTCGATCGTGTATGCATTGCCTAGGCGGTGCAATACACGAAATGGGCCAATGTACTTGGGTAGTAGTTTACTGCTACCCAAGTTAGTCACTACATGCTTTGGTAGATTAACCGTAGACAGTAGGACTAAGTCACCTTTATTAAATAAAAGAGTGTTTGCCCTTCCATTCTTGTCAGCGTTTTGCTTTTGCTTATCCACCGCTTCGGCGATGGAGTCTTGCACAAAACGGACTACCGTTTCACGAGCCAGTATGAACTCATCTGATGACTCGTTAGCTTCAGTGTGCTGTGAGCGCACTGCAGCGACAACAACCTTTTCTTCAGTGAGGGCTTCCGCACTCTCACTGGGATCATTGTCTTCAGTGAGGGCTTCCGCACTCTCACTGGCATCATCTTCTTCGATATCGGTGTTGTCGATATCGGCATCAAACGCAATGACCTCTTCTTCAGAGCGTGATGAGCGTGAACCAAATCGGTTTTTGCTCGCGCGAGTCCCTCCCCCCCTTAAACCAGAGTAACACTCTAGTAAGGTGGGTACACGCGGAGAGCGCAAGCCATTCACGTAAAACGGTGTATGTGTCGTGGACGCATGCACCGAGTTGTTAATGGCAAACTCTGCCATTGGCAAAAACTCACTCCAACTCTTAAAGGAGTGTACGTATCCTCGATGTACCTTTTCGAGGACACGATTGGCGCGTTCCGTCTGACCATCTGACTCTGGATGGTCACATGTCGACATCTTCAAGCGCGTTTCGAGTGTGTTTTTTTTATTTTGAACACGGAACACCAGAAATCAGCTGTGAATCGTGGATCTCTGTCTGATACGAGTTCACGGGGTAACCCAAGAAGTCGGAAGATGGTGTCGATAAAGACACAAGCACAGCCACGAGGTGGATCATTTTGCCGAATCTGTCAACGAATGCGAGAATACCCGTATTCCCGCGTGCGTCTTTGGGCAACCCGAAGACAAAGTCCATTGAGATGGATTCTCAGCACTCTGCCGGAACCGGTAGAGGCTGTAAAGGTGCACGCAGTGAAGGACTTGACTTCACTCGTTGACAGACTTAACATGCGCGAACGTACTTTCGCAAAAACTGATACTGGCGGGGCCAGTAAAAGTCTCGACTCACCGTGAGTTATGTTTTCTCGCGGTCACGATGTCCTCCTAAAGGAGCATCGTGATACTCGAACATGATCCGCAAACGCAGATCAGTATCATCTGGGATGACAACACGTGGTGTGTTACCAGTAACGGCTGTATCATACAGTAACCCGTTGCGAGTAGTGTATCGATCTGATGCAGATCGATACGCAGACGACAATCGTTTCAACGATTCTCGAGATGGTTGGGAGAGATGTGACAACAACTTCATGTTCTCACCGTCTTGGGCATACGCCCGCCTCACATCATCATACAACGTTGTAGATGGTACTGAGGACATCATAACCGCAACAGTGACTGTCTCACTATTGGGTTTCGCGACTGTTTCAAAGTCGGGACGACGTGAGAGTGCATCAGCGACGACATTAAGTCGTCCTGGTTTGTACTCGACCGTAAAGTTGTATTCCGCAACGAATGACAACCACCGCGCCATTCGTTGTGAAAGGTGCGGGCTGTTCACTGCCGTGCGTAATGACGCATGGTCAGTGTAAACAATGAAGGGTCTATCTCCTAATAGATAGACTCTGAGCTTTGCGAGTGCATAATTCATGGCAAAGAGTTCCTTGTCATGCACTGGATAGTTACGCTCAGCTGGTTACAGCTGACGCGACTGATAGCAGACGACGCGTTCAACGCCTTCAAGATCGTACTGCATTAATGCACAGCCGATTGCGAAATCGCTGGCATCACAGACCACATTAAATGGCCTGTCCTGATCGGCTATTGCTAGGACTGGGGATTGTATCAAGCTCTGCTTGATACCCTCAAAGGAGCGCTGACATTCAGCGTTCCATAACCACCTCTCGTTCTTTTTCAACAAACGAGAGAGGTGCACAGTCATCTCGGCGTAATTGCGTGAATACTTATGCAAATACGCCGCTAGCCCGAGGAATTTTCGAAGACCTTTGACATCAACTGGCACAGGCCAGTCGGTGATCGCCTTGGTCTTTTCGGGATCAGGACGTACACCGTTCTTACCAACGATGCACCCAAGAAGTAGTATTTCGCTTGCAGCAAATATACACTTCTTGAGATTAGCATACAATTGATGCTTTCGCATGATTGTAAGAACCTGTTGGACGTGGTACCTGTGAACCTCAACGTCCGACTTTCCATCCATAGCTCGACTATGGATGAATACGTCATCAAAATAACTCGGCGCGAATTCTCGTACTGGTCTCAACAGATGTGATACACATCTGTTGAACGTGGCAGGGGCATTACTAAGCCCTTGTGGCATTACTAGCCATTCCCAGAGCATGCCGCTAGGCGTGCTAACTGCGGTATAGGGTATATCCCGTTCTCGCATAAGAATTTGATAGAAGCCATCCATCAAATCCATGGACGAAAAGATGGTACTCTTTGACATACCATCAATGACTACGTCCTTCCTTGGTATCGGCGTCTGAGCTAGCACCGTTGCAGCATTCAACTTGTTAGTTGCATGCACAATCCGCCACCCTCCTGTTGCTTTTCGCACACAGAAGGTCGGAGAGCTATGTGGGGAAGTTGAATCCCTCACATGGCCCGCAGCTAAACGATCGGCAGAGAACTTGTCATTCGCAAGTACTTGTTCACGAGGCAGTGGCCACTGCTTCATGACACAGTACTTCGAGCCTGGTTTAAGCTCGACCTCGTGTCGAGTACCTTTATCCTTCGGTAGCTCGCACGGAACAGTTTTCGGGAATACATCATTGAATTCACCAAATATTCATAGAGAGGATTTGCCTGAGCGATTCCCACGATTGGGAGTCATATCGCTCAACTCGTGTCTTTTCATCGAGGACACTCTCGTCCATTGATGAACTACTGAGAACTCTCTCGTTCTCAGTAAACACTGTTGCTGACCTTTTGTCGGCTACGCACTCGTCGTCAGCGACGAGTACGCAGATCTGCTTGACTTTGCCACTACGCAGATCACGCAAGAACCTTTTATGTTCGAGCGTTGGCAACTGAGTGATCTCCGAAGTCAACTTCGGAGGCGCAATCAGATCAAGTGTATAAGCGCCTACACATGATCCGTTATTGACTATGACATTCAATGTCTCTGTCATTTCCTGGGGACTTATTCCCTCAGGCTTCGAAGGACTTATTCCTTCGGCTTCCCGGGGACTTATTCCCGCGGGTTTCGGGGAACTTATTTCCGCCGTATTTGTAATCTTGGGACTTATTCCCTTTACTTCCTCTAGCTCTGGTTGCGCAACCACAGCGAGATCCTCTACGAAAGACTCTCCAGTTTATCTAGGATTATCGTTTCGCTTAACCTGAGCGATCGATTGTTTCTCTTCTAGATGTTCCCCGCTAGGGATACATCTTTGTCCCGGTCCACTCGACTTATTCGAGTGGTGGACCTTCGGCGCAGCCTGAGTTTCCTCACAGCCGCCGGAACTTTGCTCCGAAGTGAAACTGTTTGGTACACTAAGGTTTTGTGCAGTCGTACTAACGACCGTACCACAAGTGAGGCCATCGCACTCACTCGTAGTACATCCACACGCTTGTGGACGCTCCAAAACGTTCATCAGATGGCCATCTGATGAACAAGCGGCAGGCATCGTTACTGTTCGATGTTGCCAGTTTACCCGTGGTTCGTACCTTCTGAGCCACGGTATTCCAAGGATGACATCAAATTTGTCATCCAAATCCAATACGATAAAGTCATCGTCATATTGGGTATCTTCTAGCGTATAGTGAATCTTCACTATACGCTTCATGACGGTTACGGATGCGCCTGTCGCAAGACGTACCGTCATCCTCGTAGGAGATGTGTCACATTCACTGAACTTAAAGTGACCATCTTCTAGCGATTGGCGTCGCACAAAATTGTTGGACGCCCCACAATCGACTAGAGCTCGAAGGGACAACTTACTCGTCACTTCGAGTTTCAAGGTAATGAGTGAAACCTCATTACCTAGAGCAGCAACGCACAACGTTTGTGTGTTGGGAGCAACCTTCATCAAGAGGCCTACAAATTCTCTTGACGTTGCTGGACCAGTAGGGTGCTCCGCACCTACTGATCCTGTCCGTTTTTTGACGGTACATTCCGTTGTTGCGTCGTTGCACCAACAGCGGACCCTCGTCCCTGCCCCTTTCTCATGGGTGGACGGTCACTACGCCCAGTGTCGCGAGACACTGGACGAGGGGCACTACACTCGTAAGCGTAGTGTCCTGTCTTTTGACATCTGTTGCATCTCTGCAACTTCTTGTAGTCTGTAGAGCGAGCCTTCTCGCTCTCTACATAACAGAGTTCCATCGGCTCTGGACCTCCGTTGTCATATCGTCTCGGTTGACGATATGATGTCGAGCTGGCGCGAGCCTGTCTCAGACTGAAGTCTTCCTGCTCCGCAATGGAAATGGCTTGTTCTAGTGAATCTAGTTCAAGCCGGAACAGGTGAGTATTGACGGGACCATCCGCAAGACCCTGCATGAACACCGAAACCAACGTGTGTTCATCCACCGGATTGGAACTTATACAGCTCGTGAGATGTCGTAAATGTTGTGCGTAAGCGTGCACATCACGCTTACCCTGCTTGAGCTTCAAGAGTTCGGTTCGAGCTCTGAACTCAGCTCTAGGCGGTTCAAACGTTTGTCTGAGCCGCGACTTGAAGACTTCCAACGACCCAAACGCATATGGGTCGTGCAACTTGAGCCCCAGTGCCCAAGTCTTGGCACGTCCTGCCATATTTGACTGGGCAAATGCAGCTTGCATGTCCCCGTCGTCGATGCGACGCGCCCTTATGGCGTCATCCAATTCGACGAACCATCTCAAGAGGGAGTCTTCTTCGATCCCCCTATACTTGAAGATGTTAATCTTCAAGGTCTCGGGTCGATGCACTCGCGTCGACCCACCAGCAGCAGCCTGCTGCTGTCTCAACAGTTCGAACTGTTGAGAACCCTGTCCAATCAACAACTCTGCTTGTTGAGAACCTTGTTGGTGAAGCAAGGCTACTTTCTCGCGTTCAGCGTCAAGTTCATTTTGAATGAACTTGGCGATAGTAGCATGTTGGGCATCTCTATTGAGAGCCTCTAGCATGACGCTAACAGCATAGATGCCCATGGTTGAACCCATTCGTTCAACCGCATCCCATTCGACATCGCTCAAATGGGAGTAGCCGTCACGCGTAGCGTGAAAGCTTTGGTCATCTTCATCATCCAACATATTCATGTTAGATGTGAACGTGGTCCTTGGACGGACTACGAAGTGCTACCAGGTGTAACGGGGCACCCTGAAGCTTGTACTGGTGACAGTACAAGCTACTTATTCGGATGACAGAATAAGGCGGTGCCTCGTAACTTCACGTACACTCGTACGTGCAGAGGAAGACGGTAAGGGGAAGCGAGTACTTGGTTATAGTAAAAAGTAGAACTGTATTTATCATAGTTAATGTCTGTTAATAAACCACTGTTTATCCTCATCTGTCTATGTCTAAATACAAATGTGTATGTCAACTATCTGCTCACCA